GGTGACGCGACCTGGGGGCCCTATTCCAACCTCGGGTCCCGTGAGGGGCCCGTGTGTAGGCTTTCAGCATGTAACAGTTGGGGACACATGACCTCCATCCTGGTTGCACCTGAGCGCATTGGCTGAACTAGTTTTTCTACTGCTTTATTGTTACCTGTTTCTTGTCGTTCAAAGACAAGGGGGTTGCCCCTCTGAAAAAAAAAACAGTGGTAGCCCCCCGCTAAGAATATCAAATCGGGTTGAACTAGTGCTTGCCCATAGCTCGGTGCCACAAACTCCATCTTCTTCATCCAATCCGATGGCAGATATCTGTAGCAACTTCAACTGTTAATTTGCCGACAACACCCAGGGTCACAGTATGGTGTGCTCTTTCCCATGGGAACTAGCATGCCTGATCAATAAGCGGACAGCATCCATCATGACCTCTTGTTCTAATTATCTTGTGAAGGGTGTAGCCCCCCGTTATCATTGGCTGGAATCTGATGCTTGGATTTCGACTCCTCACCTGTGGATCAACATGTTCACACATGCAGTATCACACACCAATCGGCCACCAGGCCAGTACCATAATAATAGGGTGTAGCCACATGCAATCAGACTCGTCTTATTCACACTTTTCATGTATGTAAACAGCAGCACAGCACACTGGCGACATGCGCCCACTCAGAACTCAGAGATATGGCTTCCAGGTACGAGTTCACTTTCAACTGGCTATGGCGACTTAGCGCCCAAACAACTCACTGTTCACACACTGGATCACCCTGGATATCCCACACACGTCACTCTGAACGCTCACACATGCACACACACTCTTCCCACTAACTACAGATATGGCAGCTATGGCTGCCTCTAACCTATCGCTATGCTAACTCCTCCTCTCTCGCCCACTGCGTCCTCCGAGCTCACTGCAGACCTCCTCGCACAAGACGCTGAGACAGCGCTTCCGCATGGCTTCCGCATGAATGAATGAATGGCTGGGCGCTGCCTCTTGATTTATACTTCTGCAGGTCGTTGGTCTGGCCCATTTCCCTTGCCCCAAGTGCACACAGTCCCGTGCGGGACTTGCTTGACTGACTGGGGACTGGGACTGTTGACTCAGCAGGGTAGACTTCCCCCACTTGCCCACTTGCCTCACCACTTGACCACTTGCCTCTGCTTAAACGTGGGCAACTCACGAAAGGCAACTACTGGGACCTTCCGGAAGGTTGTAGACTTGGCCTTTCGTGACTGTAGCAGCTACGACTCTGACCCTTCTGGACTGTAGCAGCTACAACCTTGACCTTTCGATAACACTACAGCTACGGTGTCTTGACCTGACTAAGACTCCTATCCGACAGATCTACAGATCGAACCCATGCTACCTATGGACCCTACGACAACCTATCAGCTATTACAAATACACAGGTTGCGGGTTCAATTCTACGGGTCGACACAGGTACTGTACACAGGTAAGATTGGGGTCTAGGGATCGAACCCTGGGATCTGCAGCAGCTACTGCTAACTGGTGAATACCGTTTCACTCCCGCCGTCCTAAATTCGAGGTCCTTCGAGAAGAATTCAGTCCAAGGCAGGACCTTTACCTTTCTGTTCTCTTTCGTAGGCTCTGACTATATCGGGAGCTGTCTCTAGAAGTTCTGATCTTGTAAACCAGCGGTCATCCTCCGGTTCCTGATATGCAAAGCGGACCTTGTACTGTTTCTGAGGACGACCTCGACCTCCTGTTCTAAACACATCCTCCTCTACAATTCCCTCTATGTCATAGCTCCCATCCATATCCGAAGGGATCATGGATCTTCTAGAAGGGAACTGTTGGCTTGTAACACATGGCAACAACTTTGAAGCATGGAACACAGGATATGTGTGGAGGTGTACTGGGATCTGTATAGTGTATGATGGTCCATCCTCTCCGCCCTTGACTTCTGCGAGATGTTTTCTTCAGGCGCGAACTCCTTTGCCTTGACCCAGACTAAGTCGGCTACCTGAAACTGCGACGGTCGGCGGTGCTTATCAGCTTGCTCTATCATTCTATGCTGGGCCTTTCTGAGATTCTCAACAACAGTTGCTAATTCTTTCCTGTGTTGTACCACAAATTCCCTGGTACCGGGCGGTAGTCTGTGAATCTGATCCCAGTTCAGTCCTTCGAACGGTCTGCGCGGTCTAAAGGACATCTGCAGCTCATTGGGAGTGTGGCAGGTGGATAGATGTACGCTGTTGTTGTAGGCACTAGCTACCTTAGGCAACATCTCATCCCAGTTGATCTGATCTGGTCTAATGTACATGCGCAGAACTTGCTGTAGGATCTTGTTCATCTGTTCTGTCTGGCCGTTGGTCTCTGGATGACGGCCAGATGACATTAACAACTTGGATCCGTACACTCTCATGAGTTCTTGCCTTGGAGCCAGGATGTAGCTTTGAGTGCTATGCGGTCAGGGTTTAGGGATTTTGCGCGCGAGATCGTCACCCACATTGGGGGCGAAGTAAAACAGTTGAGGGACAACGTAGGAAAGTTTTGTGAGGGCGCCATCGAGGGTGCCAAAGCCATAGCCGCAGTAGAGGGCGAGGCCAGACCTCGCAAGGACCCAGTTAAGCTCAAATTCCCGGATGCCTATGGAGGGAAGAAGGAGGAGAACTTTGACAACTGGGAAGCCAGTGTCAATAGTTATATCTATCTACAGCACATCCTACCAGAGGAACAAGTCCTCGTGGCCTTCCAGGCCCTGAAGGATGAAGCGGCTAGTTTCGCTAGGTCCCTTGCGCGCGCAGCTGGTTGTGAGAACAACCTGGTTGCTTACTCTAAAGTCACCCCCCTTCCTCAATTCCTCAAGCTCCTGAAGGAGCGGTTTGCAGACCCAACGAGAGGCGTTCGTGCCTCTGATAAGCTGCAAACAATCCACTCACGACAGTGGAGAGGTACCATGGACGACTTGGTAGCCATCCCGGACCATGGGGTCACTGAGCCCCAGTTGGTTCAGTTATTCTATCGTCCCATATCGGAGGCCCTGCGTGGGCGTTTCTTTGACAAGTCTCAACAGGCCGGAATCACATATGATGCATTGAGTAGAGAAGTCGTCCTGTATGAGTCAAAGTCCATGCCAGTTACCACCTTCTGGCACAAGGACCTGGAGAAGGGGAAAGGGTGGAAAGGGCGTACCATCTTTGGCCAAGTCAAGGCCAAGGATCACATGATCCTTACCTTAGAGGAAGGTGGTACTGACGAGGTCCCATACAGTCAGATTGAGTGGGGCCTAGAGGAGGAGGACAGTAGTGTGGGACAGGGGAGATCTTATGCTGCTGTCGTGGTTGGAGGGAGGCCGCAAGGTAGAGAAGGAGGTCAGGGCCAAAGGGGCCAGGCCATGGGAGGTCGAGGACCGGACGCACAGGGGGTTGGCGGCCAAGGAAACCGCCAAGTGGGAGGTAGGGGTCAAGGTCCCCCACCAAATCGCCAGGGTAATCGGTCCCCACAGCGACGAGGTGGCAGGGCACCTCAAGGAGGTTGGCACCCAGGCTTGCCACAGGGCAGGCCCTGTAGGCCCTGGGAAGACTTGGGCTTGGACCAGCGTTTATGGCAGGAACGCGTGGACCAGGGTCAGTGCGTATTCTGTGGTGACCCCGCCCACGTTATTAAATATTGTCCTAAGTATAGACAGGTCCGTTGGGCTGCCCAGCAGTCAAAAGGCAGCCGCAAGTAGGGGCAGCAACTGCCCCTACTTCAAGGCCATGTGGAGAAGTGAGCGCGCACGAACAGGACACTCCCAACCCACATGAGCCTATGGCAGAGGTTGCAGGCCCGTGCCTAGCCAGCTGTCCAGAGACCGCTTGTGTTAGCGTCTCTTTAGGCACGTCCCTCACAGGTGTGGCAGGAGAGTTAAAGGAGAGGATGACAACCTGGGCCAAGATGAAGAAAGAGAGTAAAGGACAGTTGATCCTGGTAGATGTAGAAGTTTTTAGAAGTAGAGTAGGAGCCCTTATAGACTCAGGGGCCACTCGCAGTTATATCAGCCGTAGGGCGTTGAAGAAGCTGAAGCTAGGATTGAAAGTTCAGAAATTGGCAGACCTTATAGTCAGTGTCCTCGCAGACAACCGCACGATGCGAGTAGAGGACTATGTAGAGGGAGTCCAGGCGAACTTTCGCCTAGAAAAGGATGGGAAGGTGGAGAAAGTTCTCCATTCCCTGACTCTCCTCGTACAGGATGACCTTCCTTTTGATGTAGTGTTAGGAATGGATTGGGGAGAGGCAACCGGGGCCACACTTCATTTGAGAGAGCATGAGTGTAGGCTCCCTAGCCCATCAGGCGAGGTTAAGACTGCCCGCCTGTGTCATGTGTCAGGTGTAGACAACACCTTGGCACATTGCTGTCTCAGTGCTCCCGCGTTCGCGCGATTAGTAAATGAGCGATTAGAAGAGAAGGTCTTTGTAGTTTATGTTCGACCTGTCACTGAGGCCCAGGAAGAGGATAGTTCCACAAATCCAACCATTGCCAAGCTGCTGGAAGACTTCAAAGATTTAACTGAGTCGCCGACAGGAGTAGTGTCGCGACTCATCCAGCACAGGATAGAGATAGAGCCTGACAGTAGAACTCCTAAGGGTGCAGTCTACAGGATGTCCCCTAAAGAGTTAGAGGAGTTTCGCAGGCAATTAGACACGAGCTCCTCGAAAAAGGTTGGATCAGGCCCAGTTCGTCTCCTTTTGGAGCACCTGTTTTGTTTGTCCCCAAGAAGGAAGGAGAGTTGAGAATGTGTATAGACTATAGGGGTTTGAACGCGATTACTGTGAAGAATGTTGAGCCACTGCCCAGGATAGACGATCTTCTAAATCGTGCAGGGTTGTAAGTATTTCACTAAGATTGATTTGAAGTTCGGTTATCATCAGATAGAAGTCCATCCTGATGATCAGTACAAGACTGCCTTCCGGACTAGATACGGGCATTATGAGTTCATAGTGATGCCCTTTGGACTAACCAACGCGCCAACTACATTTCAGCATTGCATGAATGATTTGTTTAGACCTTGGTTGGATAGGTTTGTCGTAGTCTATTTAGATGACATCCAAATTTTTAGTAAGACCCTTCAGGAGCATCAGGGTCATCTGAGGCAGGTTTTGGAGAAGCTACGAGAGGCTAACTTCAAGATCAACGCGAAGAAGTGCGAGTGGGCCAAGACACAAGTCTTGTACTTGGGCCACGTTTTAGACGGAGATGGCATTAAGCCAGAGGACAGTAAGATAGCGGCGATTAGAGATTGGCCGACGCCCCGCACATTGACAGAGTTACGGTCGTTCCTAGGCCTAGCTAACTACTACAGGAAGTTCGTGAGGAACTTCTCCACTATCGCCGCTCCCTTGCGCAGATTGCTGAAGAAAGAGGCAATCTGGCAATTGGACAAAGACTGTACGTCTGCGCTCAAGAAGTTAAAGCGCGCGTTAATAGAGTATCCTGTCCTCAAAGTTGCAGATCCGTCTTTGCCATTTGTCGTCACCATGGTGCGCGAGTCGGTATGGGATAGGCGCCGTGTTACAGCAAGACGACAACAATGGCTATAGACCCGTAGAGTTCATGTCAGCGAGGATGCCCTGTGAGAAGGTCGCTACCTCCACGTACGAGAGAGAACTCTACGGTCTCAGGCAGGCTTTAGACCATTGGAAGCACTACCTGCTTGGGAGGCAGTTCAAAGTGTATTCAGACCATGAAACGCTTAGATGGCTAAAGACCCAGGCCAAGATGACACCTAAGTTGACTAGGTGGGCCGCAGAGATAGACCAATTCGACTTTGAGCTCAAGCCAAAGAAAGGCAAGTACAACGTAGGTGCGGATGCTCTAAGTAGGAGATCAGACTACTTTGGAGCCGTAGTACACTATCTGGATATAGGGAGAGACCTGCAGGAGAAAGTGAAGCAAGCGTATGCACAGGACCCTATTTATAGCGACCTCCTAAAGAGAGTTCGGGAGGCCCCAGAGACTGAACCAGATTACCGCACTACAAATGGGTTGTTGTTTGAGAAGACTAATGTGTTTGACCGCCTGTGCGTTCCCAACAGCGAAGAGATCCGTAGTTTAACCTTAGGGGAATGCCACGATACGGAGGGACATTTCGGTTGGCAAAAGACATTAGCCAATCTAATGTGTGCGTATACCTGGCCAGGAATGAAGAATAACTGCATAGAGTATATCCGCAGTTGTAAAGTATGCCAGCGTAACAAGACTACTACGCGCGCACCCCTTGTCTTCTGAGACCCTTGCCTATTCCGGATCAGCCGGGCAACTCAGTGTCCATAGACTTCATGGACACCCAAGTCAAGAGCAGACATGGTAAGAGCCAAGTCATGGTCGTGGTTGACCTCTTTAGTAAATACGCAGTTTTTGTTCCTTTGCCTTCAGAGGCACGTACAGACTTAGTGGTACAGAAGTTCTTTGACTTTTGGGTTAGTGAGAATGGAATCCCATTGTCAATAGTCAGCGATAGAGATAGTCGCTTCGCCACCCAGACTCCTCCTCTTCTCCCTCTTCATTCTCAGCTTCCATTGCAACTTTTGTTCGTCTTCCCTCTCTCTTCGCTCCATGGGGTCCGTCATGGCTGCTAGCTCAGCGGCCAATGCGGCCTTCTCGTCCTCAGTCACATATGATTCCGCCTCCTCATCTTCTCCCAACGATAAGTTAGCAACCCACTCGCTGATCTTCTTCTCAATCTCAGCGTCTGTGTCCTTCTCCGTGCCACTACTCCCTTCTCTGCTTTCAATCCTCATTCTTTCTTTGTCCTCTTCTGCTGCCACTTCGTCTTCAGCAGCCTTTTTCTTTTTCTCCATCTGCTCCTCTATTTCCTTCATCTTCGCCGCCTGCTCATCTGCGATAGCTTTTAACTTCGCTTGCTTCTCGCGCTTTTTTCTCTCCCTATTCTCTTTCACTAAGGCGGCCATCTTTGCTTGCTGCTCAGGGGTGTAGGGGCTCGTGTCTAACCCACTACGGGTCTCAACCAAGGTGATAAGTGTACAACCGGGTTAGTGGTTCCAGACCTCACCACGTAGACTCTGACCCCTGACTGACAACCTATGACTCAATCTAAGACTCGCAGAATCCTGACAGGGATCCTGCCAGCTATGGTCTCTAGCCTAGACCTATGCTATGGCTGTCACTACTAGACCGTTTGCTGATCAGGAGGCATTTAAGGAGATCCCCCGTAACTCCGCAAGAACTCTTTAACGTCGCAAACAGGACGACGTGATCAGCTTGGTCTTTACCTGTCGCACCGCCCACAGCTCAGCTTTACAGGCCTACCGTGCCACATCGAGCAGCCCGCCGGTCTGTACCGGTCCTTGGGAGGGTTTGACCTCCGGGACAGTCGAGTTGTCAGACACAGTCTTTAGCCTTACTTAGTCTGACAGGGGTTCGGGTCAACAAGGCCCTCAACACTTAAGACTGCCTAGCGTGTCAGCCCTAACTGCCGTTCAAGCCCACCGTGTCATACCAACCGTGTCCAGCCGGTCAACACCGGTCCTTGGGAGGGTTATGCCCCCCCGAACAGTTGGATCTGCCACAGCCTTAGCTCTACAAGGTCAGACTAGGGTTTCGTCATCCAAGCCCTATCCTTCATCCACAGAGTACTAGCACCTAGGACAGAAGGGACTCGATGCAGAAAGAATAGACAGACGGACTCAGACTCAGCAAGCACCGAGGGGTGTGTGCACATCCATAGGGCAAGGGATAGGCTGAGGACTTGGCGAGATGTTACCAACTCCAGCTTGGTCAGAGTCTTGGTCAACGGTCTTGGTCAACGCCGGTCAACGCTGCTATGACCCCCCGGTCAACCCCTGGTCAACCCTGGTAATCGCCGGTCAACACCTCCGGTCAACCCTCTTGGTCAACCCTCCGGTCAGCTATGGCTGCAGGCACCTCTTCCTTGCCAACCCTCTTCTTCTTCTTCACCTTCCTCGCCTCCTTTCACCCCGCTGTCTTCTTCTTTCTCTTTCTCTTTTTTTTTTTTTTTTTGATCGGCCTCCTCCTCACCTCTTGGCCGCTCCTCCTTCCTCGGTCCCTCCCCCTCTGTCCTTCTCCCTCCTTACTTCGTCACTCCGTGATACAAGCTTCTCGGCTATGGCCGCTATCTTCTCCTTCGTGGACTGTGCA